TGTTGTATTATTGTTATTTATAATTTGTACAATTAACCTCCCTGTGGTTCGACCCCGGTCTTGCTGGGTTATTTATTACTTCGACACTCTGTACTTGGGAGAAGACATCAATCTTTTAGTCATGTCATAAACTGTATTGTTTTGTCTGATCAAATCTAACATCTTATTTTGTGGTTTTTAATTGTTGGTCTGTCTAAGGCTCAAGACAAGCACTCCTCGATAAGGAGGCTCTTATCTTAAAATACGGTTAAACCTAACCGTTCTATTGTCCAAAAAATAAATTAAATATCCGGAATAAGCATTATGTGTAATGTCATACCCCGGATATTAAGCAACCAAGAAAATAAATTTTTTATTATTTTTGAAATTTTGGCCATTGTTCTCTTGACTTTAATAAACTGATTATTAAAGCCAAAATGCATGCTAAAATATTGTTTTTGGTGTATGAAAAATACAATATAATTTTTTAGCTTTGAGACTCTTGGCCATATGTATAAAAATATTTTTTAAAATTTTTTGAAAGTTTTGACAAAAACCGAGTATTTTAATATCGGATTTATATTTTTATGATATAAAATACTACCCGACATTAATCAAAATTATATAAAATATGCAGAAAAAATATAAAAATTCTAAAACAAATATTTTTGAATTTTTTTTTTTAAAAAAGCTGCATTAGATCGGGTCCAACCCATCTACTATATGCTGGGCTGATGTCCCAGTCTAGATCCAATTAGGTTGGTTACTGTGCATCAGCAGAGTAACTAGCCACATTGCATTTTTGTAGCAGAACATGAAATCACATTTTGCATGCAAAGATGCAGGCAAAGGGCACAAGTAAATAAACGGCAGGGAGGAGAATAACATGGAGCGGTAGAGCTAACGGTGGTTCGCGATGTCCAGTAATGCTGCCGGGAAGCTGATGGTAACAGAGGCGGCAGTTTCTTCTTTCTCTTTCCCCTGTTTCTTTCTCCTTTTCTCTTCTTTCTTTATTCTTCTGTATTTTCCCTTCCCTCTCTTTTTATGTTCCTCTTCTTCTCTCTTGATTCGTTCCCTTTTGTTTTCTCTTTTTCTTGGTCTGTCTCCCCCTCTTTCTTGTTTTTTTTTTTGGGTGGTCTACCCCCCTGTTTTTATAGGCAAAAAATAGGGAAACAAGTGGACGGAGCAGCCACTGTGCTACCGCCCCTCCACTATGCGTCCAACACATGGAAAGCGGTGTTGGCGCCTTTTTGAAGGTGTCGGCTGGAAGATTGAGGGCGGTGACAGAGGAAAGAAGAAAAAATCAGCTTCTTCCCCTGTTTCGCATGTCTAGGGAAGAAGATGATGGTGCTGTTCAAAACAGCACCGTTTTGAGTTTTTCTCTTCTTTTTTTTTGTAAACAGTGCATAAAACGGTGCCGTTTTAGTCAAAACGCGTTGTTTCATTTAAATGAAAAGGCGGCAAAAACCTATTAAGTTTCAATTTGATCTCAATTTGTAATTTTGTTAATCAAGTCCTAAATTGCAATTTTGATTTAAAAATTAATGCAATTGCATCCCTGTCAAAAATCCAATAACGGCCCTATAGTTGGCCACTTTTTTCACTTTGATCCTTGGTCTTGATATTATGCAATTTAACCCTCAATTGAGCAATAAACTTCTAATTTCTTCAATTGAGCCCCTGACCGGTTTTAAGTCCAACCCTTCTACTTACGCGCCTTTTTCATTTTGGTTCTTGATTTTAGATTTCTTTAATTAAATTCCTAATGGGCTATCAAACTTCAATATTTATGCAATTAAACCCCTGATATGATCAAATTAACTGTTAAAAATTATAATTTGACCCTAGAACTTTAATTTTTTCTAATTAAAGCCTAAATTGACCCCAAAATCAATTTTTCTTGCAATCAAACTCTCCATAAATTCAATTAAACCTTTAATAAAATTTTATCAAGTCCATAAATATTTGATTTTGAACTTTACTTACTTAAATTGATTTTTTTTTGTTAATAGGGTTGTTATTAGTCAATAAAATACTGCCAAATTTTAATTTTTGTGTTTTTTAACTTCCTCAACTAATTTTTAATCATTTTTATGGCATGCTGACATTATTTTTCACTGTTTATATTTTTTGATAATTTTTTTATTTTTTACGAGGGGTCCAAAAATGGGTTGTAACAATAACTATGAGTAAAACTATATTTTTTTTACTAGTCATTCGAGTTTTTTTTGGATTTGCTAAGTTGATTCGGTCACGCCAGGGTAACTTTCATTGGTAGATTTCAAGGTTGACTCAGTTTAATAATAATACAAAATATTTCATCATGATTTAAATATTGTTTTATGTTTAATTTTTTTTATATGAACCGCAACATGTATCATCCAATAAATTAGTATATGTACTAGTTTATTAATTGCTCTGTCATTGTAGCTTTGATAACAAAAAAAAAAAGTATAGAAAAACAATATATAAACCATCAAAAACTTCTTAACGTTCTCATCAAACTAGTATAATTATTCAAATTTAAAAAACTAGTATAATTATTCAAATTTAAAAAACCCTGGCTTGACTATTTTCTTAGCATGAGTTTTAAATTGGATCGTATGAGAGTTGCCATGACCGAACATTGTTCACAAGGTAGGTCCAAAAAACAAATCAACCTAATACTTACGGATAAAAATAAATAAATAACTCATATTAAAGAATGTAATTGAAAAAAAAAAAGATAAAAAAAGGGAAAAAAAACATTTATTATATGATAAAAAATACAAAAATCAATTTATTATCAACTCAATACTTAATAATAAAATTAAATAAAAATATTATATTAAATGATAAAATTAAAAAAAAAAGATAAAAAAAACCCAAAGAAATAAAAACCACATTTTAAATGATAAAATTAAAAAAAATCAAAACATCATTAAAAAAAACCTAAAATATCTAAATAGCTAGTACAAAAACTTGAAAGATCTATCATAACAAAGCTCAAACTTGCAAGTTTGGGCTATTTTTTGTTTTTTTATATAAAAGGTAAATAATTTTATTTTTTTGAAAAAAATATAACCTCATTATTTTCACACACTAACTATAGAACTACATGAAAAATAATTAAAAAATATTAATATAAAGTATTGTCTTTATAAATAATTATGTCAACCAAATCTATAATAATGCAATATTGCTGAAATATATATCATTTTGATTTAAGGTTTTTTTTAAATAAAAAAATGAGAGTTGTGGATGAGCATGGCAAGATTATTATTGTTCGTATAATGATTTTTTTATTATAAAAAATAAAATGATTTTTCAAGGTAATTAGATGTATAAGAGTTAGTTTTAACCTTTTTTATTAAAATTAAAATTTATTTTTAAAAATTAATATTAAAAATGAATTTAAATAAATTATTTAAATAAAATTTTTTTTAAAAAATAACTAATAATTCAACTCCCATCACCATCCTAACTTTCCATTACTTTAATTTAAGTACCCCTGAAATGATAAGACAAAAGCGGGAGAAATTTAAAATTCAAAATTCAAAATTCAAAAACGCCCCCACCTTCTTTTCCAAATAAATAAATAAATAAATTTAAAAAACATTAACAGGAAGCGAAGCATAATTACTTTCCGATAATACCCCCCACATAAATAGTTGCTACCATTTTGTGCATTTGGAGCTCCTCTCCTCATATACGCTCTCTCTCATTCTTGTCGTCCTCTGACTCTCCTTTCACTCTCTGGTGCGCTACACAACGAGTTATTATCTCTCTATATTTTTTTTTTGCTAAAATTGTATAAATTTCTTATTTTTGAAACAAATTGTTCATTATATTTTCGCAGATCGAGACAAAACAGTGGAGTAACTTCTTGAAGGAAAAAAAAAAAAGTCTCTTAAAAATGGGTCAGATCCAGTACTCCGAGAAGTATTTCGATGACACTTTTGAGTACAGGTATTTCTTCTTCTACTTATTGCTATTATTATTTCATTGATTATTATTATTATTATGGTCGCCGCGACCATTATTATTAAGTTTTGTTTGGATTGACAGATTTTTTTAATTTTTGTTAATCGTACAGGCATGTGGTGCTTCCTCCTGAAGTCGCCAAACTTCTCCCTAAGAATCGCCTCCTCTCTGAAGTAAGTTTTTCCAATTTTTAGGGTTTTCTTTTTATTAGGGTTTGATTTTGTAATTATTTAAAAATTCGGAAATAATTGAAATACGTTTTTTTAATTGATGACGCGAGTTAGTTGAAAGAATTAATGAAAGGTTTAGGGGTGAAATTTGAAAATATTTTTTTTTGTAGAATGAGTGGCGTGCGATTGGAGTTCAACAAAGCCGTGGGTGGGTCCATTACGCGATACATCGCCCGGAGCCACACATTATGCTGTTTAGGAGGCCTTTGAACTTTCAGCAGCAACAGGAGAATCAAGTTCTTGCTAAGTGATTAGGTTTTACGCCGAATACTTATATCTTATCAGCATAATCATTATTATTATTATAATAGCTGAAGAAATACCAAGAATGGAAATACTTTGGTTTATGCTCTGCGTAAACGATATGGGATTTTCTAGTATCGTGTTTTGTGATTCTCTCTTGTGGAGAATTTTGTCGTCACGGTTTGTTTGTTTGTTTTATGTGTTGTTTGATGACGTTATGGGCACTGGTTAATTAGATGTTGATGGAAGTCTAATGATGGGTTGTTGTAGATATTCTTCTCCGTTTTTGTGCTTGCTACTGCAAGTCTCAGTTTAGATAATTGTTTTTGTTGGTGTGTGGATGGATATTTTTTATAATGTGATGTGTGATTGAACTGTCTGCGGTATGCATTATCATTAGGGGTGGAGGAAATACTAGCCTGAAAAATCTAGTTGAAGGTTGTCATGAGAAGTAAAGAATTTAAGGCATGCCTTGTTCTGAGTATGTTTCTTACTGAGATTAAGGTATCCAGTGTTTCTGTGGTGACCTTCAGTTTGTTGTCTTGTTGGAAGGAGAGATTGTTAATGCAGATTGGTTCTGGTGTTCTGTAATTTTTGTTGTTGTGGTGGATTAGGAGTATCTATACTAGAATTCAACGGGCACTATAGATCATGGATGATGGATTTGGTATGAAGCATCCATTTCGACAATGAAGAAGCTTTTGCTCAAAATGTGAGTCTTGATCATGGATGGTGGATTTGATACGATCTTTATATCATCATCCATTTTGATAATTAAGAGGCTGTTCTTAAAAATACGAGTCATGTGGAACTAAATTTGCCCTTCGCCATTGGTGTAGCATTGTGATGGTTGTGTTTCCTGTTAAATAGTTCTCCGTAAGCCCCTCCATTATCTATACACCTATGGCATTAAATGTGCTGATAAGAAAGCAAGCTGTGCCATGAATGCAACTTCGTTTCAATCGGAGCAAAATAGATGAAAATAAATGAAATCGGCACGCAGATGTTGAAATTGTTAGATTGGAGAGGACACGACCACAAACGCATGCTTTTCCTTTGAGTTGCTCGTACTGGGAGACCATTTCTTCTCTTTTAGCAGGTCTTTGTGTTACCCAGTAAGGTTCCATGGAATTTAATCATAGTTATAAATGGATCTGCCATTGATTGACAGATTAACTTGGTGATTTGTTTACTCGAACTCTGGGTCGGGATGTGTTTTATTTTGAACTGGTTTAATTAAAATTATATCATTTTATTTTTTAAGAAAACTATGTTTTGATTAATTTGCTGATTTGAGGATCAATTTACAACTGGAATTGGGTCTTATAAATACTAAATTAATCTGGCTATGGTCTCCACGTTTGACAAAACATGAAAATTTAAGTAGGCGTAGGAGAAGTAGGTTTTACAAGAACCAAAAAAGAAAAAATAAACACATCAAATTTAGCAATCATGCAGTGAGTGTCGTAGTTTTTTGTTTTTAAAAAACCAAATTTTAAAACAAGATGTTTTAACATAAAGAACTTAATGTTTTCAAAATAAAAGCTAGTGAGTGATTGTTGGTTTTGCATTAATAAATTTCAAAATATACAAGTTTTATTTTTGAAAATAGAGATAGTGTTTGTTTATTATTTCAGGATAAAAAACCAAAGATAATATAAATAGAGATGATATATTTTTTCAAAATTATTGTAAAAATATTTTTTTATCACTCTCTTTTCTTTAATCACTGTTTATTTTTGTGTTTTAAAAGTATTTTTAAAAAGATTTGAGATGATTTATTTTTTCTTTACTTTAAATTAATATATTTTTAATATTTTTAAATTATTTTAATGTGCTGATATTAAAAATAATTTTTTTAAAATAAAAAATATTTTAAAAAATAACTACAATGACACTAATATCTTCGTAAACATTTCTACATCATTGTCTATCTCTGTTTTTTCATCACAAGACAAGTAATCAAATTGTACCTTTACTTTTCGAGTGCTAGAGCACAAGGTAGCTTTGAAACTCCTAAGATTTCAAGAGCGGGCAATGATAATCTTTTTATGTTCATTGCTTCTTCTAGTTTTTTTTTCCTCTCTCCTTTAGATCCGAATTAAATAAAGTTGAACGATTTGTTTTTTAAAAGGGGATATAATCCTTAATAAAAAAATCAAAATATTTAAACTTTAAAGTGTGCATTCCGTTATTTCCTAATATCATCAAATGAGAAAGATTGGATTGATAGGTTGGGCTGTTTAACACAGTGTTAGGTTTGCCCAGCCCAGACCATCCCGATTTATTAATTGATAATTTCTATTTTAAAAATCCCAGTGCTAAAACCACAAAACAAAAATAACCACCCACCTTTGGCTTCCTCACTCACCCACTCAATAACTCGGTGAGTCTGTGACTCAGATTTCTTCCATAGCAGCAGATACGGTAATTCAAATATCTGAAACCCTACATGGTGGTTGTCGAGATTCGGGTGCAATAACATGGCCTTTTATCGGGTTATGGCTGCTGATAGTAGATACCCTAGAGATGGCAAACATCTTGAAGTTCTTGGTTACTACAATCCGCCAGGTCCGCCCTTTTTTTGTTTCTTAAACTTAAATTCCTTTTTTTTTTTTTGCTATATATTTGTTACTCTCGTTTATGCTTTAAAGCACAAGTTCAAGAATTTGATTTTTTTTTTTGTTATGTTTTAGTGGTAACTAAATAAGAGTAATTGTTTGGTTGCTGAGAAAGTTACAAGGAATGGTATAACAAGTGCTCTTTCTTTTAGAGTAGAGAGAATACAGAGAAGTGAAAAGGGCAGTGCTCGAAATTGCATGAGGAAGTGCCCTGTGAATGAAAGGGCTGAGCATTTTCAGTTTTTCTTTGCTGTTTAATGGTGGCATATCATTTGCAAGTTTGTAATTTGTTTTTTTGGAAAGAATTGTTTTTTACAGGTCAAGGTGGGAGTCTTAATTTTTTGAGAGTGAAGGAAGCCATTTTGCGCACACTCTCTATCTTTCTTTCGAGCAATCATAATTATTATTATTACTATTATTAATTATTATATTATTATTAAATTTAAAAAAAAAGCATTATTACTATTAAAAAAACTATAAATTTAATTTAAAAAATAAAATTAAAAACAAAAAAAAATAAAAATTAAGCCACTGAATTCAAAAATATAATATACCCATATTAGAATTGAAATGTTAAACCATAAATAAATAAAACTTAAACAAAAAAATAACTAAAATTAAAAATCAAAATAAAAAGGATAGATTCTGAAACACTAATAAAAAATAGAAATGGATTTAAAAGTACTGAAGTTATAAAAAGAATAAAAATAAAATTAAAAATTAAAAATTAAGGATTGAAATAAAAAAAATTATAAAAAAATTATAATTGAATAACAAAATTGAAATAAAAAAAATAAAACTTATATAAAAGGAATAAGGATTGAAATTGACCGAGAATAAAGATAATTATGCATTTTAGTTGTTAGAAGAGAGAAAACAAAGAAAAAATACAAACATTTGATCACTAACAACAATTTAATTATTATCTTTCAACATGCACCACACTATATAGAAGAGGACATAACCACACATTTTAGAAAATGATGGATAGTCAGATTTGATCACCTGGTAGTGTCATACACTCTACCTGAATGGTGTGAACACTACCCACTCATTGATACATGTGGAACATGGATCAACAGCTTTTTAATTAAAAAATAAAACATGAAAAATATCAAAACGCTCTATTGTTTTCTTAATCACACAAAATACTCATGTACATATGTTAAAATACCCCAAAAAACAAACTTTTTTTTTTATATTTTTTTTTAGGTTAAAAACATTATTTTACACTACATGATAATTGGAAAAAAACAAAATACTCTTATCTAGCAGCCTATCTTTTTTATATATATATATATTAGGGGCAAATAAGTATTTTTGCAATTATGAATATTATGAAAAACCAAAAAAGTTTTTGATCAACTATTCTAAATTTTATTAATTTTACACACTGAAAAGTATTTTTATTATATTAAAAAAACTTATACAAATATATATATCCTCAAACAATCTTCTAATAACCACTAAATTAAAAAAAAATCAAATCAAATACTGCTAAACTAAAAACTTAAATTGAAGTTACCCAAGAATAAAAGAGTAATTTCAATGTAAAAATTAACAATAATTTACTACAGTAAAATCCCCATACCATCTACCTTTTTTTTAAAAAAAAATATAGCTTAGCAATCTTCCAAAGTTTGCCAATATAATGCTATACACGTGTGACTTCATAAGCAAATAAAATGTTGCGTATAGAACTAAAGGAAGTGCTGTATATTGACTACTCAAAACGATGCGCATGACAATGGTAACTAAAGCAATGGTAATTTATTCAATTCAAATAAAAAAGCTAATTGTAATTATTGCCCTTTAAACTAGGAATTAGGAGCAAGGTGGTTTTTTCACCGTAACCCTGAAATAGAATAATTTAATACCTACTACTAAGAATTTTTTTGAAGTAGAATATATTTTAATGTTTTTTAAGATAACACAAACAAAATTCTCATGCAATAATTTATTATTTTTTTTGTTATTTTACTTGATTTTATTGTAAATTCTATAAAAACTTTGAGACTATAGTAAATTATATTTATTAAATATAATTAAAAAATAATTTTTATGTGGATTTTTCCCGTGCTATAAAAGCAGTTTGTGAAGGGTTGTAAAAGTAGTTTGTGAAGGGTTGTCCAATTATTAAACATTGTTTTCTAGAACAATGATTTAAAAGTAGTTTGTGAAGGGTTGTCCAATCATTAAACATTGTTTTCTAGAACAATGATTGAAAAGTCTTCATGCCTCTAACATAATAGAGCATCATGTATCTTTGATGCACATCGGGTTTCGAGGCGGCAATTGTTTCTTTTTTCCCCCCTCTCTTCCTATTCTTGAATTTCGTGTTAGCTTTTTAAAAAATTTAAACCAACCCCTGCAATTTATTTCCCTTTATATTTAATGAATGTTCTTTTGATTATAATTTATTTTTCATTTTTAATAAGCTGTGAAATTACATATGATTTTTAATTTCATCCTTTTCTAATTTTTTATCTTTTAGATTTGGTCTCATTATTTTGATTACTATTTTATTATTTTTAATAAGTTTTAAAATTACAATTTTTTTCTAATTTTACTCCCTTTCTATTTTTTTTATCCTTTAAATTTGATATGTATTCTGCTGATTGCTATTTATTTTGTTTGAGATAATTTTTTAGGTTTTTTTTTAATAATTTTATCCTTCATGAGTTTTTTTTCCTATCTCTATTTTTTTTTATTGCTATCTTTTTCTTGGCAAGTTTTTTAAATTAACTATTTTTTATGATTTCATCCCTCAAAATTAAAATGATTAGAAATTAAGCTTCTTAATTGAACATAGTTCAAGAATTTCAAGGGTTAAGAGTTTTAGAGATTAGAGCAAGTTTCGATATTTGTCCAGGTTGATTTATTTTTTTCCTTTTTAAAAACTAATGTTTGTATGTTTGACCTTTTTTTAGATATTTGCTTTATTATTTTTTACGGGTTACCTTTTATAGGATTAGTCTTGGGTTTATGAACAAAGTTACTAGTTTCAAAGGTTAACATGAGTTGATTTTTGTTTTTTGTTTTTTTAATTGATTAATTTCAATTTCATCATTTAACATTTAATTTATTTTAAATTGGTCTTCCTATTTTTTTTCTTTTCCTTTCTTTTGGATTATCCCTATCCTATACCTACAATTACACGATTTACAAATTAACTAAGTTTTTTTTTTTTTTTGTCGTTGCTAAGTGGTTGATCATAGGTTTAGGACCGAGGCTACAGGTTTCAAATGTTAACACATATCGACTTTTTTTGGAGACCTCTTCTAAAATTGAATTATTTCAGTTTCATTCTTTAATATTTAATTTTTTAGAAATTAGTTCACGCGTCTAAAAGATTGATATCTTCTCTTAAGTGTAGGAGTGTCAAAGTAATAAATAACCCGATAAGACCGAGGTCGAAACACAAGAAGATTAATTGTATAAATTATAAACAACAACAATAGTAATAACAATAACAACAATAATACTAGTAGTAGTAGTAGTAGTAGTAGTAGTAGTAGTAGTAGTAGTAGTAGTAGTAGTAGTAGTAGTAGTAGTAGTAGTAGTAGTAGTAGTAGTAGTAGTAGTAGTAGTAGTAGTAGTAGTAGTAGTAGTAGTAGTAGTAGTAGTAGTAGTAGTAGTAGTAGTAGTAGTAGTAGTAGTAGTACTAATAATAATAATAATAAAGAAATAGAAGAAGAAGAAGAAGATGAGAACTTTGAGATGGAATATTAATGTAACGATTAAACAATGATAATAACAAATGTCAAGGTTAGAGGTTCCACTAATGGTATATCAAACAAGTATAGTATAAACTCTTATTATTGAATTGGAAACCACACACAAAGGAGGTTCCAATCAGATTATATATTGTTAACATGATTACATTAGTCATCTTATTCAATTAATGCTAATACTTGTAAATCTCGTCAAGCATTCATGATTATAACTTATGTTAACAACAAATCAAGTTTCTTTCATAGCTCAGGTGTCGGTTATACCATACATTATGGGCTATGAAAGTGCCAAGCATTTGTTGTACCAAGTGTTATATAACATAAATCAAGATTAGTCATTTAACAAGTAAAGTATTAAAGAGTGAACAAGATAACAAATATAAAACATGTTAGTATCAAACATTAAAGTTCATATTAAGTTTACATTATACTTATTCTTACACCATTAGTGTAACCTTTTCACCTTGACATAATTAACTTAGCTAGACATAATGAAAGAAAGCAAAATAGATAAACAAAATAAGAACATAAAAGTTAACTAAGTAAAGGAAAGGAAATGAAAGGCATAAACTTGATATTAATGAAAGTAAAGCATAAATATTACAAAGAATACAAAGAGAGAAAGCAAGAGCATGATCTTGATCTGAAATTCAAGATGTCTAAATACATGGCAAGTGCCTCTTTTCATAGGCCAAAATTAACTGAAACCACTTGAAAACATGAAAGGTGTAGAAAATTGTCTGAGCTTTCGAGGAAAAAAAAATGGAGGTCATTTGGAGTTCTAGAACTCCAAATGACCTCCTTTTTTGTTTCCTGGAAAGCTGAGATAATTTTCTACAACTTTCATTGCTGGGGTTGTAGGACAGTTTCAAACTTCTTTGTTGTTGCTATTCTTTGTTGTTTCTACAATTTGGACTTGATAATGGCCTTTTTAGATCTTGGGCTCCATATGAAAGTTGTAGGCCTATGTCTTACCTTTCCATCCATATAAATTGGACCTAAATCTGAGATATATAGCTCCAGATATGACCCATTTACCGAACAGTGTTCCGGTTTGGATTGCACCGACATCTCTTTTCTAAGTTTGGCCATCTCTTTATCCTTTCAATTTCAGTTCTTAAATTCATCAATTAATCCTTTCATTTATGTGATAGGCCTGCATTTAAAATGAATATTTACCATAAATTAAAGGTATCTTATATTATTAGATACGTTATTATAAAACATGTTTTAGTTAAGGAGTTATTGATACTTCAAGTGCAAAATGATGATATAAAACCTTGATAAAAATACACTTTTAAGTACTAATTATTAGTTTTCATACATTCTTTTCATTTTCATTTTATTAGGATATACTAATCTTTTTATTCTTTTACAATTACATTCTTCATGAGTTTTTTCCAATCAAATTTCATCCCTATTTTTTATTGCTATCTTTTTTTCTTTGGTAAGTTTTCTAAATTAATTTTTTTAATGATTTCATCCTTTAAAATTATATTGTTTAGGAATCAAACTTATTGATTGAACCCAATTCAAGGATTTCACAATTTTCACGGTCGCGAGATTTGTGGGTAACTCTAGTTGACTCATATTTCTTTCCATTTCTTTTTTAAATTAATTTTTTTTTCATTCAATATTAAATCGATCAATAATCAAGTTTTATAATATTATTCAATTTACTTTCGAACGGATTTATCATAGTATCATGTCAAGGTTAAATATTTTGCATCTTGACTCGGTTGGGCTTGAATTGATTTTTTATTTACCCTTTTAAATTATATTTTCCCTTAATTTTTATCATTCAACATTTTATTTTTCAGAGATTGAGCTTAACCTTTTTTTTTGTGGAGTTATTGTGTTTTTATGTGATTTATAAGAATTTGTATTTAAACTCTTTTTCCTTCATTTTTTTCCATGAGATTATCCCAATTCTATGTCTATGATCATAAAGTTTACGAGTTAATATGGTTGTCTTTTCTGAGGTTTGTTAAAAATTTTCCTTTCATTGTTGAGTTGTTTAATAATCCAGGTTGACTCAGATTAGGTTTTTTTAACTTTTTTTCGTTGTTATTTTTTTGTTTGTTTATTTATTATTGTTGTATTTTTTAATCATATTATTTAAACAACCAATTAAACAATGACTTGGCTTTCATATTTTTTTTCCTTGGCATTCTTTTTTTTTTTATGCTGAAAGAAATTTTTCCTGGCTGTAATGGAGCACGAGCTACAAAACTAGTATAAAGCTAAAACTGAAGGCAAAAACAAACTAATTTACTATTCAATGCAATAGTAAAATGACAGTTTTTACGCTTACTATAAAAAACACTTTGCCTTTGTTCTAGGGTATTTTTATCATTTCACATTACATATTAATCATTAAAGGATTGTCTAGAGGTATAATTGTAGTTTTCTTGTTTTTAAGCATAGTAAAATGTCCTAATTAACCCCAAATTCAAAAAATTATAAAAATAATGAATAAGGGGCATAATTGTCTTTTCATGTATTTATGTACAGTAAATTGACAAGTATACCTTTGGATTTGAGAAATTGAAACCATAAGTTGAGGGGTCTTTTGGTCTTTTCCTTTTGATTTTTTTTTATATTCACTAGGGTAATCAAGGACATTTTTATCTTTTAACATCGATTAAATATTATTTAATTCTTAAAATTATTGGAGCGAGGGAGGCGCCCACATCTTTTGAGCAACTAGGGGTGAGCAAAAAAATCGATAAACCGAGAAAATCAGAAAAAAATAACCAAAAAAACCAAATTAACCAATTAAAAAATCACAAAAAAATTCCAGTTCGGTTCGGTTTTGGTTTCTAAATTCTGAAACTGATTGAACCGAATCGAACCGAACCAGTTCAACCAGCTAGCACTTAAAAAAAAAACAACTATAAATAGAATATTTTCTAACCTTAACCCTAAAGTAACATTCACTCATCAGTCGTCCCCCCTTCCTTCCCTTCTCTTCTTTGTATATCTCATTATCTCATTATCTCTCACTTTACTCTCCGCGTTGATTTTTCTCCCCTCCCTCAACTCTCTATGAGACTTTTATCTTGTTGTGGCTTCTTCCTAGAAAGCATGGGTTTTTGAGAAAACAGAGATGAATCAACAATGGCTTTTTTCATGAGAGATGTGTGTTTGTTTGTTTTTATTGGATCTTGGTGGGTGGAACCCCGATCCTCTCTCTTCTTTTCTTGTTCTTCCCCTATCTGCTTTTTAGGTTTTCCCTTTCTTTGGTCTCTAAGTTCCCTTCTTTTTTTGTCTTTTTGGTTTTATGTCCTCTTTCCTCCTCTGATTTTATAAGGCCAAACCTCGAGAGAAATTCGATCCTTATCTTCCTGGAATAGTGATCTTGTATACTGATAATTATTATTTTATTTTTTTTACTCTGTTTTTGGTGGGATAAGAACACCAACAGTCCTGCCATTGTTAGATTATTGGTGATGAGTTTCCTTAACATTAATGACGTATCATGGAGTGAAGGAAACTGGGATAAAATGAAATTTGTGGTAGATAACCTAGTCTACAATATGGATTGAATTTGGTTTTGTTGATGGTTTTAATAGAGGCTAACATTTTTTTTCTTTTTCAGACGAGTTCTTCTATTTTAGAGGAAGAAGATGATGAAGAGTCCTCCTTAGAACGATGCCATTTTTTCTGTTGAATTGGTTGGGGGAGGGCAAAACAACATTTTAGGGACTCAAGTATTGTTTCTTCAAAAGTCACATTAGACTCAGCCAATGATCCAAAACAGAGGGAGGAACATTACTAGTGTTGGTAGCGGACCATTGGGTTTGAACCGATTTGGAAAGGAAAAAATAAACCGAATCAAACTGAATTGAAATTAATCGGTTTGAACAGGTTTTCAGTTCGGTTTGGTTCAAAAAATTATAAACAAAAATTAGTTTAGTTGTTTATTTTGATTCAAAACCGGACCGAACCGAAAATGCTCAATCCTATGAGCAACCAATGCGCTGCCTTTTTTGGGTATAAAATGCCTTTCTACCATATTGTTGGATATGATGATGCATCCTCTTCATCATAGTATAAAATGTATAGGTGGTAGGGGAGCGGTTTGTCACTAATCAACTTGTTTTGCCCTTTTTTTTTCTCTTCCCTACCCCTAAAACTACATGCCACTCCTTTTTAATCTTGATATTTAACTTCAATCCTTATTCTTTTAATTTTAATTTCTCTCCTTGGTTTTTTTGTTAGCATTTTGATGTTTTTGATTCCATCATTTAATCTAAGTTTATGGTTTATTGTTTATTCTAATTAGGTTTTTATTTTTTTTTTACTTTTTTATCCTTTTGTTAGATTAATTTTTCTTTTCATTTTAGCTCTTCAATCAATTTTTTTTTCTAATTTATTTTTTATTTTGATTTTCACCCTCATTATTTTAATAACTTATTTTATTTTATTTTAGATTCTTTTATGAATTTTGTTTTTCAATTTCATCATTCATTATTTGATTTGCTTAGGATTAAGCTTCTTGGTTTTTCATTATATGATGCTTCCAGTCTAATAAGACTAGGTTTGAAAAGTTAATACTGGTCGATGTCTTTTTTTTTGTTGCTTGTTTTATTTTTTGATTTCATTATTCTACATTAGTTTTTTTCCTTTTAAATAATAGCATTGTGGTTTTTTCTAATTTTTTTTCTATTGGGTTATCTTGATCTCATAAGTTGAACCATGAATTTAATAGGTTAACTTGAGTTAGTTCGCTTCTTATTATCCAAGTTACATGTCTATCAAACTATTTTAGATTGACTCAAGCTGAGATTTTTTTTATCTTTTTTTATTCAATTATGTACCTTTAAAGGTTTTTCTTCTATGTTATCATGGTTCCTTTTTTTTTTTGAATTTTGCTTATTTACTATCTTTGTCAAAATTTTTTTTATCTTGTGATTAAAATAAAACTAATTTATTAAAACCAGTCGGAGCTATAATCAAAATCATTTATTTTTCTTATTTATTTAAAAACAAGCTTGCATCACTTAGATATTATTTTTTACGTAGAAAGCATGAGCTTATTTAGTGTGTGTGTAACTTATAAGTATGGAACTTAATGCAAGCTTTTCTTTATCTATGAGGAGCCATGGTAAAACTTATTTAAAATTGTTTTATGAAAAAATTAAAAAATTCAAGGCTATTTTGATCACATGTGTCTTCTTGGGCCTTCATTTCTAGTTATGATTGAGTATTTTTTTTTGTAATGAAGATTTGATTTTAAAATGTTATAAAAAAGAAAAAATAGTCCGAGTTAAATGAATTATAGTTATTAGATTCGATATAAAGATTGATTCAGAAAATGATATGAATTAATGAGTCATTAAATTGGGATAATCTTTTTATTAAAACAATATCATTTTGTTTTTTTATTGATTCAATCAAGTTTGGATATAATTTGATTATGGTAGATGAGTTTTTAGTAATTCAATTGAATCAATTAAGTTTTATCATGTTATTATCCCATTGAAAACATATATGAGTTTTGAGTTTTTCAAATGAATTCATTTAAGCAAATGACATTAAAAAAAGGCTAATGGATAAAAACAAATTACTATAGTCAAAGAGGTATTTTACTATTCATTGGAATAGTGAATTGATGCATTATCCTTAACTAGAAAACAACTTTAAACTAGACAGTAAATGTAAGGTTGCATTTTTATTGTAACACAATTGTTTTTTACAAATTGATTAATCATTTAAATTTTTATTATATAGTAAAATTACTAACTTGATCATAAAAAAAATATAATGCCTTTTATTCATAGGTATTTTGGTCTTTTAAATTTTTTTAAATAGTGTAATTATTTTGATACCTTTAAAGAGAAAATCAATATAACTCTTTTACAAGGCTTTTTTTGGTCATTTTACATTGATTTTATTGTCATTTTTCCTATATTAAATATTATTAAAAAAAACACATACGCACACACCAACATGTAAATAGCCCTCGCATTATTTGAGCAACATATGCAGGCCCATTCGACCATAAAATACCACCTTTCATGATGATATTTGAAAGGTTTTGGCGCCTCTAAAATGATAGAGTGACGCTTAGTCCAAACACATCTTTAGTTTAGAGTTGAATTTAGCCCATTTCTTTTTATTTTTTTTCTCTCTCCACCTTGAATTTAGCCCCAACCTCTTCAAAGATTCAGACCAATCAATGCAATTTATTTTTGCTTTTTCTTTGGTCCCTGTGATTACTATTATTTAAATCTTGAATAATCTATAAAAATTACAAAAGCTTTTCATTTTTAGCTTTTTCATTTTTTAATTTATAAATAATCTATTAAATTTTAAATGTTTTTCAATTTCACCCCCTACAAATTTTTAACTATTCAAATTTGATCCTTATTCTTTTAATTGCTATTTTTTTTGTTTGGGATTGTTTTTTTTTTTATATAATTTCATCCTTGTTAAGTTTTTTTTTCAATCAAATCTTATCCCTCTTATTTTTATAGCTATCTTTTTTGTTTTTGCAAGTTTTTTTTATTAATATTTTTTTTCACAATTTTATCATTCAAAACTAAATTAGTTAGGATTTAAGCTTCTTTGTTGAACCTGAGTCTAGGATTTCACGTGTAGCAAGTTTTAAATATTAAACTAGGTTTAGAAGGTATGCCCAGGTTTACTTATTTTTTTTCTTTTTATTAATAAGATGTTTTTTTATTTTTTAAAATATTTTTTTATAGTTTTGCTTTGTTATTTTTTTTAGTTTTTTTATGGGGTTAGCTCATATTCATGACCAGAATTATCGGTTTCAAAGATTAACAAGGTTGATTTTTTTTTTAAATTGATTCATTTTAATATTATCATTTCAACTTTTTTCTATTTTTTTGGATTATTTCATTCTTATAATCATGATCATGAAATTTACAAGTTCATCTAATTTAACATGATTTTTTATTTATTTTTATTTTTATTTTTATTTTTTAATGTTTAATTGTTTGATAATTCAGATGAACTTAAATTTTATTTTTTTTGTTATTAATTTTTTTTATATTTTTTATTTAAATTACTAATTGAACCCAACATTAGAGTAGGTCTATGATTTTTTTTTTGTCTTATTATTCTTTTTTTTTTTTATCACATTGAAAAAAAAAACCCGACCATGACCGGGCACCAATAAGCCTGATTTCGCGTAAAGTAAATAAATAAATAAAATTAAAACTGCATGTAATAAACTAAACTAAAACAAGGAAAGAAGGATTATTTTAAAAAAATAAAAATGGCACTACCCTCTCTCTACCGCTTGCATCTCCAAACTTTGACACAAACTAATCCAACAACCCTCTTCAAATCCACTCCTTTTTCACTCACCAAAACCTTAAACACAAAATAACCAACTAGAAGAGCTCTAAAGACCTCTCCTTTACGTGTAGCAGCACCTCCTCACAGTCACCTCCATCTTTACGAAAAGAAGAAGAAACAGAGTACGGAGTTGATGATGAGAGTGGAGAGGAGGTTAATGATTCTAAATTCACTTGGAGGGATCATTGGTACCCTTTTTCTTCACTTGGGGATCTGGACCCTCTCCTGCCAACCCCATTTCAGCTTCTGGTTCGTGACCTAGTTCTTTGGTTTGATAAAGCTAATCGAGAATGGGTTGCTTTTGATGATCAATGTCCCCATAGACTTGCCCCTTTGTCAGTAAGTTTGCAAATTTATGTTTTATATTTTTCCCTCCTCTTAATTGAAGTTGTTCTCTGTTTGCTTACTCCATAACATGGAGAGTTTGGAAGCTACCCTGTGGTTAGGTCCCTTTTGTGGTTTCTTGGAATGTCTTAATTGAGTGAAAAGGTTGAATCAGGTTGCATTTTCTTGAGACTGATTCATGTTTCAAATCTAATCATGCATTCTTGTTCGTGAAAAAAGCTAAATTTGGGGCTAAGATTGTTTGATTGGGTTGTACATGGGTTAGAGATAAATATCTGAAAGTTATGTTTGCTGTTTCTTTTGTTCTTTTTTTCCATGTTGTCTTAGACTCTTAGGAAACAAAACTGAAAATTATTTTGTCCAAGTAGATGATTTTTATAGATTCAATTTGACTTGGTAGGAAGGGCGGATTGATGAAAATGGGCACCTGCAATGTTCATATCGTGGATGGTCATTTGATGGATGTGGATGGTGCGCACAAATTCCTCAGGCTATGCCTGAAGGCTCTGAAGCTCATGCAATCAAGTCTCCAAGAGCTTATGATACCAGATCTCCTACAATGGTGTCCCAAGGTCTGCTCTATGTTTGACCAGATGAGAATGGTTGGGAAAGAGCTCAAGCCACCAAACCCCCCATGCGATTGATCCTTTCTTATTTTGATGTTTGATTTATAATTTATATAATGATCGAATTATCTAATCTGACAATGCCACACACTTATAATGATGTTTCTATGGTAATTGTTTAGGTTACCTGCTGACTTAGATAAACCTGAGTTCTCAACGGTGATAATTCAGCATGATTTGCTCTACTGTTATGATACCCTCTTGGAGAATGTTTCTGACCCTTCGCTCATTGATTTTTCTCACCACAAGGTATAAAGATGTGTTTAATCATCTTGATTGAAGATTTGTACTTTTAGCTCTCAATAGATTCATAGCTTGCCTAAGATTTGAAGAATTGATCACATAGTTTAGGTAATGCCAAGTCTCAATGCTGCTAAGTTGAATCAAGGGCAGTATACAGTGCCAGGAATATCTGTCATTTGTATAATATTTGGCTTGTTACTTGCATATTTGTCAAAGACATCAATTTCACAGTAGTTATCACATGTGCATGTATACTTCTTGATGGAGATCTGCTAAATGTCTTTGGGAGTAGTCATTCTGGAACCAAAGGATTGATAAAAGAAGCGTCATGAATTTCATGCTGCTTCTGGAATCTGGATCATTTTATGCCAACTAGTTTTTCATGTGTCAAGTAAGCTTTTTTTTAAAGATTGAAAGGGGTTTGGCTCAGGTCAAATTAGTAATTTTAGGATCGTTATCTTTGTTTCTGGTGAAAAATTAGTGCTTTCTTGATTTCAAGTTGAAAACCTGGCTGTGGGCAAGTCTTGGCCATTTGCAAGGAGAAAACTACACACATGTGGGGCAATGTTGTTATAATCCTAATATGTCAGTGAAATTTATGCATGTCGGTGGCAAATTATTTGTATACTAAACCGTATTTAGCTTTTCTTACTTGTGATTTTGGCATTATGAAGTCTAAATTTCACAAGGATATATTGCACATTCTGATGTTTTAATCTGGAGTACATTGTTTAACATGGGAAAAGTTGTTTTTGGGGTTCCTGGTATATATCAGTGCTTGAAAACTTATTCCCATATTTGTTACTAATTGGGATAAATGAATCCACTGGTTACAGGAAGGAGAGATAGAGCCAAGCCTTTGCCGTTTAAGGTGGAGTCTAGTGGCTCCTGGGGCTTAGCTGGAACCAGTGATGGGAACCCCCGGATCAGTGCTGAGTTTGTCGCACCTTGTTATTATATGAATAAGTGAGTATAATTAGGAGAAAGAATTGCAAACGTCTTCAATGAACTTTTTGGCACCTGCTTTCAAGGTTTCATTTTGACAAAATGTTCACTTATGTGCTCTATTGTTTCTTTGTGGGGGACCTTAGTAGTTTTCCTGTTTTAACAAAAAAGTTCAAGCTACTGTAATTCAAATTTTCAATAAGAATATCTGGAGTTTATTCTTCAACAACCTTCTCATTTCATCACTTGAGGTCTGGTAAAGAAGCCCTCCTTTGTTGTGAATACAATTTGGTGCGGGCTTTTGTATGGTGAATGCACCTCCTCACTCCAGCTTATGTTTCTGATCATGGAAGCTTTGGCATTGTCCATGCTCCAAGGATATTGAGAAAAACTTGTATTCTGGAGTATGAAGTGAATAACAAATGAAAGTGCATGGTGGAATTGTTTATTCTGACACCAACTGTTGTTCAAGGATTGTAATTATGTATTTTTCCTGTCCTGAATTGTCTAGAACTCTTCCAATCTGTCATCCCTCTCCAAGGAGCTGTTGATTCTAGAACTTAGTGATGCTTGTTTCGTTCCACAGTGGAGATAGACACAAAACTTTCTATTGTTGGTGATCAGAAATGGATTATTTGGATTCGTTCCTTCAATGTGCCACTGGCACCTGGGAAGATCCACTCAACTGTTTGCAGTGCTCGAAACTTCTTCCAGTTCACAATGCCAGGGTTAAACAAACTTTTTGGTTGTGCTTCTTTTTGGTTGTGCTTATGTGTTCTATCTTGTGGCAAGTACGTTGATGTTTATTTATTTACGATGATATAGCCCTATTTTGCTGTATTGTCACACATGCTGTACTTTCTACTTCTTAAAAGTTTAGATTTTATATTTTCTCATCATATTTAGGGTGTAAAATGTCTTCCTTATCTAGTGTAATAACAATCATGTTAGCTCCCTTTGGTCTTCATTTTGATGACACCACCTACATGATCTGACAAATTATTACAAATTGAGAGGTTCACTCCCATGTCAATTTTTGTAGTTTCTCTCCATTGCATCTCCACATCTAGGAGAGATTATGATTTTGGTATTTTCATTTACACAGTGGCTGTTTAAAACCAGCAACGTGTCTTTCATCCATCATATCTCACTGCACCTGGAATTAAAAAATATGCTCTTGAAAATGGTTGGTAAATAGCATTTGTTTCATGCATATAACATTGTGATTTAAATCTTAGATTGTCCCATTGCCCAGTTGTAGTCCTACTAGATTTCATCATTTCAGATTCCTTTGTGTTTAATGCTGCATATCCTGTGTTATGATTGTACTGGTTGATTCTATCCTGTATGATATGGAATGATATTTTGATGAAATGCGTCCTTTAACATGTAGAGATAGAATGCCATCATGCCCTATGCTTATGGATCTTTCTTTTCATTTTATTAGATATATGGTATTTATAAAAGGCAACAAATTACAAGCTATTGAGGCATGGCTACCCTGCCCCACAGAAAAAAAGGTCAATGTTTCCCATGCATATGTTCAAGTTAATGAGGAGCAACATTCTGTTTTGGAGCAGTTTCATGACACGTGTTGTGCAATATTGAAAAAGAAAGAGGAAAAAAAGACTTCTATTGTAAAATGTAAGTTTGAGACTAGAGAACAGTAGATAGCTCTCTAATATTTGAAAGGTGTTTGGTTGGAGGTCAAATGCCATCAATTTTGCTGGCTGCATATATTGGTAGTGGAACTCAAAATCCCAAAATTACAGTGGCTTTCATTGTAGGGTGGATTTCACTCCATCCCACTTGAATGAGAAATTATTAACAAGATAGGATGGATCATTCTTAAGTTATGAATTGTCTATATATGCTGCAAAATTTATCATACTTAATCATTGCTTGCTGTGAATGAGCATCTTTTTCACTGCACTAGATTTGCTTTCTACTTCAATGTTCTATGCCAATGCCACTGGGCAATCAAATCTATATTTGATTTAAATTGGTGTCATCCTCATCAAGATCAAATCATTAATATCAAATTGAGTTTGTGTAAGGTGGTTCCAAGATGGCATGAGCATTGGACTTCAAATAAGGTATACAATGGAGATATGATTGTCCTTCAGGGCAAGAGAAGATATTTCTTTCACAATCCATGGGAGGTTCTGCTGCTCATGTTCACACACACTCAAGCAGATCGCTTTGTGTCGGCATTTTGTAGTTGGCTGAGGTGACATGGCAACAGTCAACCCGTGTGGTTTGGGTTCACCTACCAACAACCTTTGCCATCAGCAGTTTTATCAAAACACGAGGTACGAAACCCCCATCCTACTTTCCCTATCCCCTCCAGTGGCAGGACCTTTTTTGATTTGTTAGAACACACACACACACACACACACACACACAAGTACTCCAAAAGCAATGCACATGGACGTGGAATAATCACTGAAACTGACAGAATTACAGTAATGGTGTTAGTGAGATGGCAACGATATTGTAATGAATTTCCTACTGCAGCTATTATCATCATCCCCTAAAAACGAAATCTTCTCGTACTTTCATATAGTATTGGAATGTTATCACAACTTGTACTTTTCATGAAATTGTTGGCTTCTTCAAAGAAACGAGTATAGCTCACCAAATTTAAGCGGCTCTTGTGTGTATCAATCAAATCCTGCAGGTAGCGAGGATTGAACTTATTCCTGATACTTGTTTACTTCACTTATTTTATCTTGCAGGTGTTGGATAGATTTGAGCAACTCTCGTCGTGTAAAGGGCTTATGGATTCCCTCAGATCAATTTCGAGCTGTTTTGGCTGCCTTTGCACTAGTCAGTGCTGGCCTCACTTACACTTTGAATCAGCATGAAAGAACTGTGTTTATTGATCATGATCATTATTAAATATAGATGGTCGATTGTATAAGAAATCTTTGTTAATGTAATCAATCTTTTCTTGCCCATGGGGTTGCATCTATTTTATATAAAGAAAGCTGTGTCGAAACTCTGTACATGCTGAAATGGATATTCGAATAATGAAAAATCTGAAAATCCAGAGTGCAATGACAAATTACACAAATAATAAAATTATGATTACTAAGTGGTCATTGGATTCTACAACCACCAGATTCTTGCTCACGACGTACGTTGCCATAGGCTGAGAGTTCAACAAAATCCATGTCACGACCTGAAACTCGACAGTAGGAACTTCTTCGAATGAGCTCAGCTCTAGATAGCTCAGTCCGGTTTCCCTTAGAACGATTGACTGTTGCCTGCAAAACCTGACAATTTTCCAGGGAGCTTTTTCCTCCCTTAGAGTAGGGAACGATGTGGTCATAATCATGGCAGAGGCAGCCAGGACAACCCACGAGCTTTCTAAAGACAATATTACCAAGAGGGTCGCGGCGCCACCGATCTGGGTCTCGGCCTTTGACCTTCTCTGCCTTTTCCCAGCATTGCTGCTTCACGCTGTAAGGGAAACTCCTTGGTTCATCAAAGTGCTCAGACCCTGTAGTGAATGGGGACTGCTGTTCACTCACCATTTCAAGGTTATCGACAGTAGAGGCGGAGGAGCTAAGCGTGGATTTTCGCATCCTGGGTGGAGATGGGTCGGATCTGGAGGGTCTGGATGGGGAGGAGAGGCGGCTTTGCCTTTTGCCAGTCTCTTTGCTCTGCCTCATCCGGTCCAAAAGAAGTTTTCAAGGTTTGATTTCTACTTTGTAAAATGCACATATGTGATAAGAACAACCAAAGTATTTTAAACCCGGAACCGGAGGGTTGACCCAGGAACCAGATGGACCGATCCGGGTTCACAAAAAACCCTTGTTTTTTGTTTTTCCTCCAAATAAACGGCGCCATTTTGAATTAGGTAGAATAAAATCCCTGATTCCCAAAACAGGTAGCCACGCAGAAGAGAATTTCCCCTCTTCCCTTCACCCAATCTGCCTTCCTAATCCCCAACTACTGAGTGCTGAGCTTTTCAATTTCAGGCAAGATAACATCTCCCTTATTCTCCTTCTCTCCAATGGCTTCAACCCACAGTTTTTACACAGATTTTTAGGTTTTTTTTTTTTTTTTTTTTTTTTTTTTTTTTTTTTTTTTTTTTTTGTTAAAGGCTTAAATCCTTATTTTATTGTATATATATGCACGATTTGATATTATTTGCTACATGACATCTCTATATTCCGTTTTTTAATATACTAAATTGAGTAAATTTAGGGTTTTGGTTTAATGGTTTTTTATGTACTGAATTGAAGAAATTTAGGAGTTCTTCTGTTAAATCTAGGATCTAGATACTGTGATTTTATTCTATGGCATCCCCTATTTGTTCCTTTTTGCTCAAATCCTCTGCTAGTGTTGATGTTGCATGCGGAGATTTATCTTGCCTGAGAATGCCAACACTGAATCTATTTCTGCCGTTTGTCAAGATGGGGTTTTGATTGTTACTGTTGAGAAATTACCACCTAAATTGACTACTGAGGTCAAGATTGCTTGAAGAGGAGGAATATGTGTAATGTGGGTTATTCTATAATGAGGGTTGTGATCTGTTGGGAGTTTTTTGTTGGGCACGGAATTTTTTAAGAGTGTTTGTGTTTGAATTAGTTTTTGATTACTAAAAATTATGCTCGTTCAAATCATGGCATGGGATATGAATGTAGGAGCAATCTATTGATAAAAAAAAGTACTGCTGTTAACTAACGTTTGATTCAAATTTTGCTTTTATGGCCACCGAAGAACTCAATGCATTTATTCAACGAAAGTGAAGATGTTGGTTTAGAATTTATGTGATGTTGGTTTAGAATTTATGTTTGTGGAAACTTTGTTTCAAATGTGAATGTTTTAAATATTTTAGAATTTATGTTTGGTTTGTATTTAGGATATGGAATTAAATTTGTGTTTTTGGTTTATAATTAGGTTGAGTGGTTTCTATTTGTACTTTGCAATATTTAGAAAATGAAGGAAATGTGCTGGTGAGGAAAAATTGTGAGTTGAGTTAGTGAGCAACAAATCCATTCAAGGCTGTTTTTTTCAAGTTGGTTATGAACTTTATAATGCTGTTTTTGTTTTTTGGTTTTCCAAGTTGACCTAGGTCAGGTTGACTCCTGATCAGATTTAAAACTATGCCCAAGTATGATTCATTTATCTATAACATAAAAATGGGTAAATTATAAATTAGTCTCACTTGTTTATAAAATGAATTAAAAATTTTCTCTAGTTTCAAATATTAATTGTTTAGTTACTTTCATTCATTTCATGTCTTTTTTAATTTATTTTTGTTAAGAAATAGAAAAGGTAAAAAAATATATAGATGTTATTAAAAGATTGATGAGAAAAGAAGATATTTTTTGACATCATCTAATATCAAATTTAGGTAGTCAACACTGAATTTAAATAATTATTTTTTAAAAATAAAGGGACTATTCAATGTATTCTGAAAAACTATAGGGGCTAACTTATAATTTATTTTTGAAAAATGATACTTATTATATTAAAAAAAATTCTACATAATCATTCTGTGTTTTTGAGGTCAAAGTTCAACACCTAACGAGCAACGCACAAAGATCCACTAATTATTGAAAGCAGGGGCAATATGGAGATTGCATGAAGGTTAAATCAGTTAATTTCCTGGATATATTTGTGCAGGCAGAGCATGTGAACAACTGTTTTTATCAAAATTGTGGCCTGAAAAGAAGGAAAAAAAAAAAAAGAGGAGCAGGGTGTTTTTAGTCTAGGGTTTTCAGTGACTCCATAAGGTAAATTAAATATGGATCCTCGATACACTGGAGAGATATTCAAGTAAGCATTGAGATCTATTCAGTTTTATTTTTATTTTTGATTTTTAATTGTAGTTGCATCTCCATTTCATTTAATGTTACAAGGAGTAGATTGTTATCGAAATTAGTAATTTTTTTTTTTTTTTTTTTTTTTTTTTTTTTTTTTTTTTTTTTTTTTTTTTGTGTGTGTGGGTGTTGTGTAGGCATTTAGAGAAGCAGAATGAGTTATTAACGAGCACTTACAATTCAATGTCACATGAATTGCACAAGCTCCAGGTTTTTTTTTTTTTAAATTATATGTATATATGTGTGTGTGTTTGTGTGTGTACATAAATATACACGCGCGCGTGCACACATTTTATTTTAAATTCTAAACTAGACATTCTAAATTTTGATGAATTGCAGGTAGAGGAGGAAATGCTGATGCGCAAATTTTATGATCTCATGGCTGCTCAAGGGTTAAGTAAAAAGGTATGTTGTTTTTGTTAGTTAATTATTAATTTGCCTTTGCTTTTTTCTATACAATCCGTCTCAATTGATTTTTGTTCAATTGGGTATCAATTGATTTTTGTTCGATTGGGTTTAGTTATCGGATCAAAACCAATGCTCTAGAAATAGTTTAGTTTAGTTTAATTTGTTGTGGGGAATAAATGAGAAAATGGTTATGGTGGAGTTGATTAACTGAATTTGTTTTTTGCTTGAATTGTCTGGCTCTCTGCTACTTTCTGTAAATGTCTTCTTTAGATATTTTGGTATGTTTTTGCTTTCATAAATTGTTTAAATTAATCAATAAATATCATATTATATGTAGTGTTCTTTTCTGTCTGTCAACAAACTTAAAAGGAGTGAGGATGAAGGTGAATTGGTGGAAGCTAGTAAGAACTTTCAAGTTTGAACTTCACAAATTTTTGTTTAGTGTCTTCCTGCTATATGGGCGATCTGTTTAGTGTCAGATACAAATATGGTTGCCCTACTAGCCTTTCTGTTTAACCAGTAAGAATAGGGTTGCTAGCTTATTTGACACCCCCAAAACCACGGTCAAAAGACCTCTAGAGCTTGTAGCATGCAGGATAATAAATGAACTCGACATAATGGCAGAACTTGATACTTTGTTAAAGTTCCTTACCCAAAATTGTTAGCAGCTTGTAAGCAGATGGAAACATAAGCTAAGGAAAGTTAGACCGAATTCTATACTTGGCAATGTCGGATAGATAAGTTCATGCTATGTTTTGTGCACTGCAATGAAATGGAAACATAAGCTAAAGAAAGTTAGACCGAATTCTATACTTGGCAATGTCGGATAGATTAGTTCATGCTATGTTTTGTGCACAGCAATGAAAATATCAAGCACTCACGGTCAGGGCTTTCAAGAATGTATTAATGGGATGCTTGTATAGCAGCATGCAAGAGATTGAATTTTTTTTGAGTTCAAATAGCATTTCAGTTGATTGTTTTTTCATGGATGGGAAATATAAAAATGAAATTGAGCATCAAAGGTACATGTAGTTGATGTTTTTATGTCATCATAGGAGGGTGAAGGCAGTGTGTTCCTGGTCACATTTCCCACCGGTTTGTTGTTTTTTGGTGTTTTGATGGTTGCTTCAGTGTACAAATTTTGGCTTAAAAAAGGAAATGGAAGTTCATATAATTTTTCATGTCATATACTTTTGCAGAAAGAAGGCAGCAACAATGTTTCGGATGGTGGCCGAACAGGACAGTCCACTGCATCACTCCCAAATACTGTTGATATTTCTGATGGTGGAATAGATAGACACTCCAGTGCAATAGCCCCATTTACAGCTACTGATGAACAGATGTGAAGATATCAAGGTTGCTTAACTCTCTGTTTCATTAATTCGTGAAGGACATTTTCTAAGAGATCCTTTTGTTCTACCTAATATAGCTACGAAATGTTTGATGCTTTATGGAAAAGGGGATCTCAAGTAGCTCAAACATGATAAAATTGTATTTCTTACTGATGAATGACCAAATTCTAATGAATATGTGTTATAACTATCTGTTGAATATTCCAAGGGTGCAGTTGCTGTTCTCAGTTTTCAGCCTGGCCTCTTCTCTCTCTCGTTTACCTATCTCAGGGTGCGAAAAGACGTATGATTATTAAAATTCGAATATTTAATCTATTGGATAAATTTTACTCTTCAATTTTCATAATCTCAGCAAAACTTTTAAACTGTGTTTATTAAAATTCGAGTATACTTTTGAAAATAATTTATTGGTATAAAATCCACTCCAGATTCCCTGGTCTCAACAAAACCTGGCGCGACATTGTCATTATATTTTGAAATTATGTTTTTTAGTTTTTTGGGTCTGCTGTAAGGTATCCTGTAGTTAATTTGTTATTAAAAGTGCATCCTTCACATCAACAACTTGGTGTATTAAAAAAATAAAAATAAATATTTTTAGACGTTGAGCTCAAAATTGAACTCGAAAAATCAAAGAAAGAAACGAACCTCTGGTTAAGTGTTAATCTTATTGAGGGTTTTAGCATAACAAATCACTAATTTTAAGTGAATGCCTTCGCTAAAAGGATTCAAAATGGGAATTATATAGCTTGGATACTCGGTTCCATATTTATGTTATGTTTATGTTGAATGCTCCATCACCAACTTCGCATGTTTAGAAGGGAAAAATATGTTACCAATTACACTCGCTAATATAATTGAACTGTTCAAGACATTATCTTGAAATTCCTGTGTAAGGATGATATAATTTCGCAACGGATCCCTTATCAGTGCCTACAAGTTTTTGTTCTGTTCCTGACCGGGGTTCCATCCATTGTTCACAGCTTAAAAGACATCCTCCTACAAGATGACAACCAAAATGGGCATATTGTCAAATATTATCTGCTACAACGCACAAGGTAATCTGAACTTGGGCGTTTGAAAAATCAAATTTATTCCATTGTGCGGCTCCACTGCCCCTAATGGATGTCCACAACGTCTCTGGATAAATCACTATGACAAACAGATGAAAATATTGATAAGGAGATTTGCCTGCAAAATTTGAATGAAAGAATAATAAAAAGGTATTAAATTGGTTTTCCCTAGTAACCTTAACAAGAGGATTATTTAGGGGAAAAAAAACAAAGAAAAACAGAAAATTCAAGCCCCTTAAATTGAGAGCACACTGAAGTGATTCTGGAGTCTACCTTACAAACGCTCACAAATCTTTATCATAGCCAAGCTGTGCTTTAGCTGCTGCCTTTTCTGCTTCATCTAAAGCGAATGCTTTAAGAGATTCAACATCTCTTGGCCCTGTTCATTTCAGGAAGAAGCATAAACACTTAGATCTTGAAGTTGTGGTAATACCATAAACCATTGGTTAAAAGCATTTCATCGCATCAACTAAAACTGCCAGTGAAAAAGATGCCAAATGCAACAGAAGCATGGTTATTGATTTCTAATGCTGAAAGGTATATAAAGAAGTTGAATTTAACTTCATTGAATCATTCCTCAAAACAATCCATTATCCTATGAATCTAAACACACATAATATAGTAGAAACAAAATGTCAAGCCTTCCCCTATGTTGAATCTTAAAACAAAATCCAAGATTTTGCATTCATGGCTAAACTGACAAATAACCTAATGCTACAAGCATCTTTATATTTAGGGAAGATCCCAATAGATTCCAACAATACACATACAAATTGCAGATCACAACTTTGTCCAGAGCATTGCATCTCCAATATGATATTTTTCACAGTAGCAAGCAACCACAACAAACCACGGCATACTAAACTGCATACTAAGCTCAGGAAATACACATTCATTATTTGAACAGTTTATACCACCAGCTAAATGCAAAACTATGAACTGTTCTCTATGTTCCTGCCCATCTGGACCACAACTATTATTGCTGGCTAAATCAAAGGATACTTGTTAATTTAGGGATCATGCATCTTAGTCCATTCATTCTTGTTGATCTTCTTTTCATTATCATTTCATTCTCTTTCTTTTCTTAAGCAAGATCTGTCTTTGTTAGATTTAATAGTCTTTTCTTTAATTGGGTCCCTCACCACAAAGTTAAGTTACCCAAGTAACCAATTTGAGAATACAAATCGCAATATTTTCTTTCCTCTGTTTTTTCTTTACCTTTTCACAAACACTCTTCCATTCACATACCGAGCTCTACCCAAATAAGTGAAGAAAATACTTTAAACCAATGTCTATCATCCAGACAATTACTTTGGAAATTGTGTTTGGAGATAGTTCACTAAATATTCCTTCAATGACTTCACATTGAACTCAAACTCATCTATACATATTTCTATCAGCAAGATATCCAACTAACTTCTGAAAAGGCTCATAAGAGTATCATTCATTCAACATATCAGCTGCCCTCTAGCCTAATGGAACAGGTACTGACCCTAAGGCAACACCTGAAATATAAGCAGCTCCAAGAAAACACCTCTCTCATCTTTTGCAGTTGCATCATTAAAAATAGGCACCAGAATTTTCCATAACCTGGATCACCCATTTGAAAAGTGAAAAGCAGTTGCATAACCAGTTGTTGAAACTTCCGTCACAAAATTAGGATGGAGCAAATGAATGCCAGAGAAAATTGTGAAAAAAATTCAAATCATGCCACAAGCAACGAACATGCCTTCATAGCTCAAGAAGCGCCCATCACAACTCAAAGAAAACCCAGATGGGAAAATAGATCAAGTAGCTGAAAAACTAAAATTTAGCCATTCGCTGAATATATGCATCTTTACCCTATAACAAACCCAGTGAAACAACTCATTTCGTCAACACATTCATAGCAGCAATGAAATGCCATGCAAGTCAAATCTATCAGATCATTAAGCAACACATTCAAGCACACTAAGCAAGACCGCAGCACACAAAAAAAAGTAGAGTTATTAACGAAAAGTTCCAAAGTCCCATGCTTTACTAAATAAATTCCTCAGAATGAAAAGAAAAGTAATTTAAGCAGTAAAACCTTGATATTTAGCAACTTCTTCTCCATCAAAAAAGAGCTTAAAAGTAGGGTAAGAGTGGATATCAGCTTTAGAACAGACAGATTTGCTGGCGCCGCAGTCCACTTCTCCAACCTCTATTTCATCTTCCCCCTCCATTGCCTTCCCAACCTCTTCCCACAAGGTCCCCAAATTCTTACTGATAATAAATAAATATCAAATTAAAATATAATTATAGTATTAAGCAGAGGATCAATAAATAAAATCACTTACCAATGCCTACACCATGGAACACAAAATTTGACAAACCATGCCGTGTCTTTCTCCTTCACCTACATACATAATTATTATTGTTATTATTTAAATAAAACACATAAATAAACCCAATTTAATTATTAATAATAAAAGAAAGAATTAGAACCACCTTGTCAGAGAATGTTCCAGGAGTTAGGGTTATAACTTCAGCTTTAGAAAGGAAGAGGGAGAGAAATAATGATAATACCATCCATATCGAAACCGAACGGTTTAGTTTTATCATAATTCTTAATCTTAGCTGGATGATGATGATTTTCAGCTCCTTGGAATTGTCTTCGTTATCATCACAGTAGTGAAGCAGATCTTATGAGCAGCTGCGCGAGGAGGGAGAGATCTGTTGTTTCTCTTTTACACCGGTCGAGGATAGACCTTTTTTCTTTTTCAAGAAGGACCTTACTTATTTCAGCCCACAAGTACAGGCCCAAAACAATTGTTATCAGCCGGATAGAGGGAAGCAATGAGAATAGACGGGTTGAGTTTTTATGATATCTATATCATATTTATTACCAATTGAGAGAAAAATTAGATATTTATTATTTATCTGTTTCGTGTATTTATATAGGTATCATATTATTTATTATTCAATATAAATTAAAATAGTAATATGCCTATATATAATGATAAAATTATAAATATTATGATATACACGTATATATATTTTTATAATTATGATACACATGTATATATATATTGTGTTAATATGATATATATATATATTATATTATATTATATTTTAAAAAATATAAATGTACTAAACATATATATTTTATGATATCATAAATGTAGCACTAGACACAAATTATTATAAATTATTATAGTGAAATTATTATTTTTTTTTATAAAAAAATTAAATGTCTTTATCTTGAGGATAATTTGATCTTTTTTAGTGATCTATTAGTTATTAAATAGTTTTTCATGGGTGCATCCATCTTCTCACTTTTTCTAAAATAATAAAATAACTTATTTACTTTTAAGGTTAAAATTTTTTAGAATTATTGACCTTAGCCTTTTGAACAATAAAAATATATTTTTACTTTTGGCATTAAAAAACAATAGTTCATATGCCTAAATGCATGTTTTCCTTTCATATATGTTTTTTTTTATTCATTCAAATTCAAGGAAGGTATTTTGATTTTTTATGTTGATTAAATAATTTTTAAATTTAACAAGTTATTGGTATATGTTTTTTATGTGCTAACACATATGAGACAGCTGTGCTATTTAGACAATATAAGTGGTATAAAAACTACTTTTTTGTTGTGTCGTTGAAAATACTACCACTTACTCTTCCTTCTAGTGTGATGTGTGATAGAGGTGGATAGGTGGTTTTTAGTGATCTTTTTTTCTTTTTTTTTTCTCTCTCTTCTTTTTTAAATAGTACATGTTTACCTTCTTTGTTTTTGATATTTTAGTTTTAGTCTTTATTCTTTTGATTTCTGGTTTTCGCTCTTAACACTTTTATAAAAATCTTGTTTGTTTTTAATTTGTCATTTATTTATTTTTCTTTCAATTAGGCCTTTATTCTTCAAACTTCTAATTTTTTTCTTTATTTTTTTGTTAAAGTTTTATTGGTTTTCAATTGCATTCTATAATCAATTTTTTTAGTGTATTATTTTTTTCAATATGGTCATCATTCTTTTTGATATTTTTTTCATTTTGTTAAAGTTATTTTTACTTTTTAATTTAACCCTTCAATCTAAGATTTTTGGTTGCTCTCTAATTTATTTTTTATTTTAATTTTCACCTTCATTCTTTTAGTTAT